CTTAAAACAAGGCAAAGCATGTCAGATTCCAAGAATGCAATTTGTTTTCAGGACCTGTGCTCCTCCAGGCTTCGACGTCGATCCTAGTCCCAGTCCCGGTCCTTCCGACTTGTGTGGCCTCATGCAAGGAACTTCACTTTGCTAAGCCTGGGTCTACTTGTTAGTAAAGCAGCCGAATAGTAATACTTCCCTCGTAGGGCTGTGAGAGGAGGGAAAAAAGATACCCATACAATGTTGAGGCTGATGCTCAGCACATCGCAGGCAGCTAGTGCCAAGCTAGAACCTTAGTCCCCCAACAGTGCTCGTGGACACACACTTCTTACATCTTCCAGTGTCAAGGTAGGTACACTGAGTCAAACCAACCCATGCATTCTTGGGGGCTATTTTCTAGCAAACCACGACCAGGCGCAAGAAGGGGACACGAGCAAATGAACTGCTAATCGGCTGACTCGGTTTATGGTTGGGCACCACCAGCAGCATAAGTGCAGGAGAGCTGGGTGAGATGATAAGTTTAATAGGGATGTGGGCAGTTCCAGTTACTCAAATGATAGAATACGTGGTCTTGAAATTACCTTCTAGTCAGTAACAATGACAAACTCGGGGAAATATATAAAACACAACTGCTTGGAAGCACTTGAGAACAACCCAAAGCAGCAGGAATGGGAGGAAGCATGATCCGCGGAAGTCAGCAAGTATTCCAGAACACTTTCTAGGTCATGGTGAAACATGGGAGAACACACGAAAACAAAAAGCAGTGTGTCACTGGCCAGCGAGGAGGGAAAGAGGCTGGGCTCTGAGGATGGAATTGAAGGAGAAAATGCCAAGGAGGATGGTGCCACAATAAGGAGCATTCCAAAATGACTATACACATTTCCCTCAAAGCTTTAGCTACCCCCTAAATTGTGTATATGTCGACAGAGACTCCAAGGAGCCCAAAAGAAAGCAGCAGGAGGAGGCAGAGAGTTCCGCAGCAGCCTGCAGAGGGAATCTGGAGTTCGAATCCTGTCAAGTTAAAAGGGGCTTAGCAAATGTTTCTGACTTTCAGTATAATTCCATAAAGACCAATCTTCACAAGTAAGCCCTGGATTAAAGGTTCTGCCCTGGGACAGTGGGCAAAACCAGAAGGAACCAACAAAACCTAAAAACCAAACCCCCACAAGATCAAGGGGATAGGACAGTAATTTAACTGCATGTCAAAACAAAATACAACATTCTGTTGAGGACTAAAGTAAAATAATCTTTCCAATTTAACAGCCACAATACCCACTGAAAGGTGACAGACATGTGAAGAAGCCATAAAATGTGACCTATGATCAGCGAAATAATAGTCAATAAAATAGACCTACTGGTGCTCCAGATGTTGGAATTAGTAAACAAGGACTTTAAAATGGCTATTACAAATATACACAGGATTTTCAGGAAATGAATGACAGGATGAAGGAGTGACGAGGTCATCCAGAAGAAAAATAGAACCTATAAACATAAACTGAGTGGAGATTCAAGAATCAAAAAATTTAGTATCATAAAACATACTTTGGGTAAAATTGTAGTCAGATACTATGGAAGAAAAGACCAGTAAACTTGAAGACAGCTAATAAAAATGACCCAAATGGAAGCACGGGGAAGGGAAAAGAGATAAAATAAGTACATGGAATTCAGCGACTTTCATGACAACACCAAGTATATAAAAAGAGTTCCAGAAGGGCAGGGAAAAGAACTGGTCAAAAAAACAAGTGAAGTAAAAATGACCAAAAATCACACCCCACATCCCCAAAGCTAGTGAAAAACATAGTTCCACAGATCCAAGCAGCTCCGTGAATCTTGAGTAGAATAAGTAAAAGGAAAGCACCAGAGTCACATCATAGGTCAAGGGCTGAAAATCAAAGAAAGAGACAGAACTTCAAAGTCAGAAGGAAAAAGATTCACTATGTACACAGGGACAATAATGAGAAAGACAGTTGACGTTTCATCAAACACGAAGCAGGCCGGAAGACAGTGAAAAGGCACTTAAAAACTACTAAAAGTGGGGAGAAGTCTATTTGGGAGGAGAGGTTGAAGATGTTGGTGAAATGCTAAGTCACAAGATATGCAAAACCTCTCAAGAACCCCTCTGTAGCCCACATTACACACCACACACACACACACCCCATCTACATGGTATCTCGGTAAAACACCCCAACCTTCCCAAAACACACACACACACAAATTGTAATTGTCAGGACCATGACAAGACACAATCACATGAGATCATCAACACCAACTGTGGACACACATGTTGGTTCCCTGTATCCAGCCACCAGGTGAACATCACATGTTTTCATCCTGAGGAAAACAATGAAGAAAAAAATAAAGATGTCCTTCTTTTCAAATGCCTTAGTCACATGACACTTTGGTCCAACAGGAGGGAGAAATGTGTTAGCTGTGCTCCTGGAGGAGGTTGGGGACCCTCCAGGGGAGGGAAGAGCAGCCGCGCAACACACCCTTCCTGAGCAGCGGAGGGAAACAGGCTAAGTGCTTGAGGAGCATCACCTTGTGCAGTCCTCACATGGCCCTCAGGAGTGGGTGTGCGCCTTCTCTGCTATTTAAGTGAGGAAACAAAGCTTGAGAGAGAATGAGGAGATGGCCCCAGGTCAGTGGCAGTTGGGGGCCCACACCTTGGTCTGTCAGACTTGGCCCAGCTCTTCTCTCCCTGCAGTGAGTGATACATCTGTTCCCGCTGTGCACTGGGCTGTGCAAAGGACACCTGTGCACCCACACGTGCCCCTGTCCTCAGGAACCCACAGCCCAGCCACGGAGGCCACCAAATAGCCATAACCAATCTCAGCTCAACACTTGCTACACACCGGCCGGTGGGTGTTAACTTCATACGTCGCATCTTACTTAATTTTCACGACAGCCCCAGACGTAAGTCCATGTGCCATCTCTGTTGTACAGACCAGGAAAGTGGGGCCCAGAGCTGCTGAGGGGCAGAACTAGAACCCTGTGGGCAACTATGAGCTGGCTACTAGTTGGCCACTCACGGGCAACTGCGACCTATCTGCTGTCTGCAAATCCCAGCAGAGCATTCCTTGACCACCTATGGAGCAGAGCTCATATCACGAGGCAGGCCCAGGACTCCCAGGCCGCTGTTGACCTGATTGCATGACGTCTCCATGGTGGTCTTGGGATAACTCTGCCTGTGATGACATCAAATACTTTGCTGCTGCAAACGTCTCTTGACGTGTGGTCACGATGTTCCCTTCCCTGTCCCTCGTAAAACTTCGTCCCCCATTCCTATCCCACCCTCCGGACTTTATTCCTCATCCCACTGTTGCATGATCAGCTTTTACTAGCCTGTGTGCTTTCAATAAATGGCACAAGAACTTCTGCTCAAGTGGCAGAGTCTTGACTTGCAAACCTGCTCCACGACTGCTGTGTCCCTCATCGTGTTAGCTCTGACGAAGTTCTCGTCAGAACAGAATCCAACTCAAGCCCTCTAGCAACAAACCCAGCTCCCCGAGGCCACCTAAGGGGCAAGGAGTGCCAGGCCCACCGGGGCTCCTCTCTCACTTGATGAAACCCTAGGGATGCTGAACTGTGGAAACAAATCAATTTTGGTGATGACGGGTTGGGGCTGTACCTGTCTGTAGAGGGCGGGCAAACCTGGGAAGCACTCCTGGCCCAGTGAGACCTGTGGCCGCCTCGGGCCTCCCACCAGGATGCAACCATCCCCCACCAGCTCCAGATGCTCCGTCTGCCGCTCCCATCGATCCAGTCTTCGCTCAACAACCCATCTGGCCTTTCAAAAGTAAAAGCGCACGGGCATGCTGTTTGCTCAGAACTTCTCAATGGCTCTCAGCTGTCCTTGCAGCAAATCCCACCTCAAACAGGCCCCCCTTGCCGCCCCGCCTCGGCCAGTCACACCGCTCTCAGCACCTTGAAAGAGCGGCCCTCAGCTGCTGGGGCTCCTGCTCCAGCTCCTACTGCTGGGAACAAATTACCACCCGCAACAGCCATGCTCTCCTCATGGATTCTCTGGGCCAGCAACTGAGATTTGCAACAGCAGAATGGGTTAGTCTCTGCACCCTAGTGTCTGGGGCTCATCTGGGGTGACTCAAAGGGTCGAGGGGAGGTCATCTAGGGGGCTCTTTCCTCACACAGCGTGGGGGTCGACGCTGGCTACCAGCTGGGATCTGCGCCCCCGCAGCCTCTGTGAGGCAGCTTTGGCAGCTGGACCCCTCAGCCTGATTCGGGGCTCTGAGAGGGGGTCCTGGGGAACGCGCCAGGCCTGAAGTCAGGGCCCATCACCTCCCCTGCTCTCCCTGGCTAGAAGCAAGTCACCAGCCCGCCCAGGTTCAAGGGGAGAGGGCAGAGGCCCTGCCTCTCAGCGGAGGACAGCTGGGGTCTCGTGGCTTATGGGAGATATGACGGGGACATCTTTGAAAAAGCAATCCGACACGCGGCCTTCACACACTGTCCTCCCCGCCCGGACCAGCCTCTCTCCAGCGTACCACCTGCTAATTCTTACTCGTCCCTCAGGTTCCCGAGGCCGCTCGGGGAAGCAACCAGGTTTCTCCAGTGCCATCCCCCGTCCTGGCGCAATGCCTCTCCCCGAGTTCAGAGACAAAAGCCAGCCCCCCACCCAGAGGGCAGCTAGAGGGGAGGCCATCTGTGCGGGCAGCCCCACCTGTCCACCTGGGCTCTGGGGCAGCGCCGGGCGCGGGAGACGTCGGGGCCGACTGGCTCCCAGCTGCCCACATGCCGCTGCCTGCACAGCTGGAGGCGATCTCGCGCTCTTACCTGAGGCAGAGGGGCAGCCCTGCGCCTCGGCAGAGCGCACCACGAGCTGCCAGGGCTGCGGGGAGTGGGCGGGCCAGGCGGCAGAGCTGGCCAGGCTGCTCGTGCCAAGGAAGGAGGGGGCTCACCGAGGCCGCCAAAGCGGGCTGGGGCGGGAGGGGCCAGGCCAGCTGGGGCCGGAGTTAGTGTGACATCACTGGGCGGCCCGCCTCTGTCTGGGGCTGAGGGGAGGCCCGGAGCCTTTCTGGGGCCTGGGGGATCCTCTTGCACTGGTGGGTGGAGAAAAGTGCCTGCAGCCAACCAGGGTCAGGCTGTGCTCACAGTTTCCTCCAGCGGCGGCATGTAAAGGCTCCACAAAGGAGTCGGGAGTTCAAATGAGGCTGCTGCGGACGGCCTGAGGATGGACCCCGAGCCCTGAGTCCCAGACCTGCAGAGCATGGCACTGAGGTAGCTGCCGGCCCCGCCGCCAGAGAAGGCAGGTCGTGAGCAGCCCGGCAGGACCCTGGCCAGCCTCCGCCCCGTCCCAGCCGGAGTCCTGCTGTGGAGGCAGGGCCAGCAGCAGAGGCCAGTGAGGCACGGTGGCTTGGCGGCCGGTCCGGCCTGCGACTCGGGGACCCCTCCTGGAGGCCATGGGCAGGCTGCCCTGCTGACGGCCGAGGTGAGGCATGTGAGGAGCTGCCCGGGAGCCCAGCAGGAGGGAAGAGGTAAGGGGCCAGCTCTGTGGCACCAAGGGACAGGGGGCAAGAGGCAGCAGCTGGCCCCGTGTCTCAGGGTTCAGAGAGCCAACCCCTGCGGCTGGGGTGTGTGCAGCTCGCTTTCACTTGGAGCCAAACAAGGCACCCCCCACCCCCAGGCAGGACCTGGGGACACGCTGGGGCAGAGGTGGTGTTCCGTGGGCATGAGATCGTGGGCTGGGGTTTCGAGGGCTTCATCAGTCAGTCCGACTCCTCTTTCACACAAAGAGCCTTTGGGGGTGAAGGCAGAAGGCTGGTGGGCACGGCTGAGCAACTGGGCCGTGTGAGTGTGTGTTGGTGTGTAGGTGTGAGCTTGAGGGGGGCAGTGGACGCCGGCTGCAGGGAAAGCCCAGGACTGGGGCAGCCGCTCTAAGCTTCGGGCTCCCGTGCACCCTGGAGAGAGAATATGCGGAGGCAAAAGCAAAAGCAGACGTGGTCCTGCCAGAGCCGAGTCCTTGTTCGGAGAGGTCCCTGGAGCTGAGGAGCCTCTCGGAACACCCTCGAATGGGGCAGAGCGGCGAGGAGGGGTCCAGCGCCGGGACCATGCCTGAGCCCGCGATTCCTGCCGCTGTGACTCAGGGCACAGCGCTGCCCTGGCCTGCCCCGGGGATGGCGAACTGCTCCCAGAGCTGGCCGGTGCCCCGCGTGCCCAGCAAGCTGGAGAAGGCTGGGAAACGGGGGAGGACTCGGCTTCCCGGCAGGGGGACAGTGCGGGCTCCGCATTCCCAGTCCCTTGAAAGCGCTCAGCATTAGATAACATTTCCAAACAGAAATTCTTCCCTGATCCCTCCCTTCTCCTTCTGTGATATGTGTGTCACGGGTCAGCTCTTGCCTGGGCTGTGGGATTAGGAGAGCTCCCAGAGGCCAGTTCGGTTACTTAGAAAAGGATCTCCTTTCACCCGGGCGCTGAGGAAAGCTGAGAGAGCCACTTCCGAAGCTGGCCAAATGCTCTCCACATGTATTTTCCCAAACTGAGGCAGAGGAAGGGAGCGCTCGCGAGTCAGGTTTCGACTTCTGAGCCAAGTAACTGGCACAACACTCAGCTGCTCTAAACCTCAGTTTCCCGACCTGTAAAATGGGGTACTCACAGTGTCCATCCCTCCACAACACGCCACCGCTCTGCTCTGAGCAGGTGCTGACACACTCAAGGACCTCGTAAGCTCCGGCCTCACGGGTTCTGGTGTTCACCACCACCTTACAGGTGAGGAAACTGAGGCACAGAGGCTGAGGGATGTGCCCAGGGTGAGGGCTGATGGAATCAGCCCTCGCACTGCACTCCACTGCTTTCAAAGAGGTGGAGGCTGGCATGGGGCGAACCCTCGGGAAACCTTAGTCTCTGAGCATCATGAGCCGTAACCATCAGAACAGCAGAGCAGGGAGAGCAGAGACCAAACTCCCTCTCTGTCCTGATATGTCCTGAGAGGGCTGTTGGGAAATCCCACCAGAGCAGCCAATGGTGTGGCCACCACTGCCCCCACACTGGGGGTTCTCCCAGGAGCCCGGGGGGGGGGGCCTTGATGTCTGGGGTGACCTACAGCATGTCCCGGTCCCAGAGGCCGACACCGAGCAAAAGCGCAAAGGGGCCTCGGTGCATCTGGCACCCGCTTCACAGTAAGAGCGCCCTGCGCCCAACGGCCACCTCTCTCTGCCCACTGGCCTCCTGCCCGAGCTGTGGGGTGAGGGGAGCGACCCACCTCCACACCACAGGCCATCCACAGAGCAGGAAGGCCAGTGTCAGGCCAGTCCCGGGTGGCAGAGGGAGAGCCACGGGCCCCTCCCCAGCTTTCCCCACTGCTCCATTGTGGTGGCCACATCTGGTGACACTGGGTCTCTTCGCCTAGGGCAGGAGCTTCACTCCTGAGGTCTGGAGGTCCCTCTGGGTTTCCAGAACCCTTGCCTCTGAAAAGCTGCTGTACATTAGCTTTTGTAGCAAAGGCTTCCGGGCCATGGAGGTCACAGGCTTGTGGGGGCCCTCAGGGCAGTCCCGAGGCACTGACCAGCTTCACAGGCCTGGCTTACAAAAATGGAGGTCACGGTGACCAACAAAATGTGAGACAGGACCTCACAGTCTCACTGCAGGCCCTTGAGCAGAGCAACCGACCAGCTTCTCCATCTCTCCATCCCTCCTGCACGCTGTCGCGCCCTGGGGACGCACACACGCCCCCTCATCCTCATCACAGCCCCAGCCAGGCTCTCGTGTGCGCGTCCCTTTCTATAGATGAGAAAACCAAGACTCAGGCGCTAAGCAACTTGCCCAAGTCCCCACAGTGGTGATTCTGTGGGATTTGAGCCCTGGTCAGTCTGGTTCTGAAGTCCACTCCATGTCTTTCTCCACCTCGCTCCACGACCCTTCTCTTCCCCTGACCGTGTCCCTGGGCCCCACCCCACAGCCCCAGCGCCTCATCTGTTCTGTTGCTGTCCTGCAGAAAGCGGCCCTACGCCGCCTGAAAGCCAGGCACTGGCCTGACCCTGAGTATCCTCTGCCGCCCACGGAAGCCCGCCTCTGACAGAACAGTGCCGCGGCCACCCCATGCCCAGCAGCCTCGGCGCAGGTGCCTTGTGTGCCTCAGTGACTCGCTCACTGAGAGGGGCTCCTGGACCCCAAGCCAGCTGCTCGAGTTCAGAAGGCCCCCCCTCACCTGCACTCTGGGCTGTGTCCTCCACTGAACTCTGGGCCAGCTCAGTGGGGCAGAGCCCGGGGCAAGCACTGGTCCATGTGCCCGAGGTGCCACCCATGCGCCTTCTCCAGTCCTCCTGGGACACTCCACAGGCTGCACAGGAGCTCAGGCCCCCACGGGCCACACTGCCCACAACTGAGCAACTTCATGGCCACAGGGGGCGGCACTGGTAGCTATGACATTAAAACAAACGTAACAGACAGTGGTCCAGCCCAGGGCAGGTACATTCAGCATCTGAATCACAGTCCTTGAATCCAAAATGGCCTCCCCTGACAGCCCTTGGCTGGGGGAGGGCTCTGTCTCCAGCGCCTATGACCGGCAGCAGGAGGTGGGCCTGACACTAGTAATCCACAAACACGTAACAGTCCAGGGAGGCATGTAGCACGAAGAGGGTGCTGCAGGGGGGAGGTGCTGTCCCCACTTTAAGAGGAGGAAACTGAGGCTCGGAGGGTACAGCTTCTCTCTCTAGGTCTCTCCACGAGTGGGCCACAAGCAAGGTTTCAGATCCGGACCTGGGTTCACCGTAGCCCAGCCCACCGGCACCCTGGACACGTCCACAGTGGAAATCTCAAAGCTGGATCAATACATCCAACAGTGTTTCTCTTCTGTGATTTACATAAAACACCCTAAATAGAAGGTTATTCAGTCACTGGCAGCTTGGAGCTGGTGGGAACAGACGGGTTACATCAGAACCCCATTCCAAGGTTGTATCTTTGACAAAACTGTATTCCCTCACATCAAACGTGTAAGCCTAAAATATCACAATGCCCCGTTATGTGTGCCTATCAGTTACAAGGCATGTCCTGATCACAGAAATGTTAACGTGCCGGGCATGGGGGGCAGGCCCCTTACAATCTAGTTATTGTGTTAGGTTTATTCTCTGGTCAACCAGCAGTTCCAGAGCCTCGGCCCCCACCCCTGCTGCCGAGGGGGGCCTAGTCCTACAGAAAAAGCAGGCCCATGACCACCTCAGAAGAGCCCAGAGGGGCTCTGCTCTTATTTCTGAGGGATGCCTGAGGACCACCCAGCTCTGAGAATGCCCAAAGTCCAGCCTGAGGGGATCCCACTCCAACCTCCTCCAGGGAAAGGTTGTATTTCTCAGTCACTGCTGAACCTCCTATACCCCACACAGGGCAAGGTGGAGAAGGTATCCGTGGAAGAATGAATGAATGAAGTTTCACACCCAGGCAAGCAAGGCCTTCAACCCCAGAGTACATTTAACACCCCCACATTGTCTAGCCAAGGTCTCTGTCCCCCTCCCACTGTGTGATCCCTTGTCTCCCCACCCCCAACGGGATCAGGTGCCCCTGCAGTCCCCTGAGGCACCCATCAGGCCACTGACCACATTGCACTCCCAGTGCCTAATCTGTCTCACCTACTACTGCAGGTCCCTTGAGGGTGGGGCCCCGGCTTGTACCTGCCCCATCTCCAGTCCCCAGCACAGGGGGATTGCTCAGGAAATCCATTTGATGAATGAAATCCTTGAATTTCTGTTTAGCAGCCCAGCTGCCCTCCTGGGTTTTCAGGGGGATCATCCCGATCCCACTCAGCAGCTCACAGCAGGTGCGCACAGGGCCTCAGGGCCCATGGAAGCGCTGACGGGTGGCTTCCAGAGAGGCTTCCAGAGCAGTGACCTGGGAGGTCCACATGGAAGGGAAGGCAGGCAGGTGTCAGGGCGCACGATGGGGCTGGTGCGAGGTGCTGCCACACCAGTTGTGCTCTCAAGCAGGACACTGACACACCCAGACGTGAGTTTTAGAAAGAGGCTGGAGCTGTGTGCAGCATGGACAGCAGAGGAGAAAGCAGTCAAGGGCAGGAGGCCAGGCAGGACTGAGCGGAGCGGGTAAGAACCCGGCTCTGGAGGACACAATCTGGCTCCAAGCTCAGCTTCACCCCTAGAGAACTCAGCAGTCCTGGGCAGGCGACTCCATCCCTTCCCTCAGACTCCTGATCTGGGCAATGGGCTAATCACAACCTCCGCCTCACGGAGTGCTGAGATCAGCGCGCAGGCACAGAAAGTTCTTGTCCCGTGCTCAAGGGCTGAGCGCAAACCAGCGGGCCAAGGTGGCCCTGGTGCCAAGCACTAGCCAGAAGAGCCTCCCTGGGGCAGCCTGTCTAGCCCATCCCTGACCTCTTTCCTCTGAGGCCCCCCAGCCTCAGGGCCCCCCTGAGCACACCGGAAATGCACTACCGGAAATGCAGCAGCCAGTTCAAAAGCCGGGATCCGGAATGGCTTCAGCAGATCTCCCGCCTCTGCTCTGTTGGCTGAGGCTCCTGGCACAGAGGGCTCAG